CATACATGCCTTCGATTCATCGTCGCCTATGCTTTGTGTTAAGGGCACACCACTTTGTGGGAGATATCAAGGGTCTTTGTTGATCGCCCTTGCATTAGATGCTAATGATTACGTCGTTCGATAGCATTTGCTATTGCCGAGAGAGAGACAAAGGAAAGCTGGCTTTGGTTTCTTAGGAATGTGAAGCGAGCAGTCGTGAAGGAGCGGTCTGGTGTCTGCATTATCCATGACTGTAAAGTGGAGTTGGTAAATGCTGTTGATGATACTGAGAATAACCCTGATGAACTGCACCCATGGAGGGATGTACGAAGCCGGTGGTGTATGCTACACCTTCTTTGAAAACTTCTTGGAGTATTTTAGTGACAAGAAGTGGTGTGACGATGTTCAAGAGGCTTTGCGGTGAGAAACAACCAAGTAAGTTTGCTGAAATCTGAAGGAGCTAGATGAGTTGACATCGAAATATATGGCGAGAGAAAAAAGCGGTTACAAGTCGGAAAATGCAAAGATGGTCAAAGAGCATGATGAGGTTTGAACTTGAGGCACCATCACAACAATCAAGTCGGTCTGGGATGGGGAAGAAGGAAATCACGGAGATGACAGCCAAAGGAAGATAACAAAGTTTTCTGATTGGATCCATCTGAAACCAAAGGAGAAGTGGTCACTGTTGAATGACACAAATAGTTCTAGGTATGGCATCATGGGCACTGATATATCTGAAATATATAAGCATAGCCATGTATTAAAAGGGGTACAGTGCTTTCCACTCTGTGCCATAGTGGAGGTGACATTCAAGAGGATTGTAGAGTACTTCAAAAACACAAGTGCCGCAGCAAACAAAGCAATCAACGACCCAGCAATGGAGTTCCCTCAACGTGTCCAGGATGAAATGAATCTCAAAATGCAGAAGGCCCAGGTGTATCAGGTGACCTGCATAAAAACAAAGGGCAACAATGTTATATTGGGGGATGATGTTAAAAAGTTTGTGGTTCGGTCGAAAGCGAGAGCGTGTAGCTGTTCACTGTATTCAAAATCTCTACCGTAGCGTGAATAAGTTTGGAGCATGCACAATCGAAAAAAGCGTCTTTGCATGTTCATGCAACAAGACGCGCTTCTTCACACACCCACCTGCTCTCTCATGTCGTGGTACATCTGCATCAAATTGGAGTTAGCACTTCTACATATATGTCCCCATACTACACCCTATCCTATCTAGGTAATACTTGGAGTAGAAAATTCGATGTAGCTGATGATTTGTTTAGGTACGAAAAATACATTCAATTTGGTGGAAGGAGACGCCAACTTGGATCCCGGACAAAAAGTTGGAGTGTGGCTTTCTGGTTTTCTAACATCGATCGCACACAAACCGCCACGAAGAGGAAGAGCAAGAGTGAAGCATCTGCTTGTTGATCAATTCCAGATAATCGAAGAACCGAAGAATACTCAGATGGACGTAGTCAAGCTTGAACTTCTATGTTCTTCCGTCAACTTATTCATGTGTACTCTAAATATGCAGTACCTTTTGAGCTTAAGTTATCCTAGTTAAAATGAACTTTTTATCTGTGTGCTTGTCTGCTTGTATCATGTCAGGAAACTGAATTTTCACGGTATGTTCAGGCAATATGGTTAGTAGACCTGTGACAATATGCTTTAAATTCAAGATTGCACCAACACTTATTTCATACATTGGTCATAGAGTAGCCCAGCTTGATACAATTAGGAGTTACTTTCTATTATATTTCATAATGACATAATTGGGTAATTTAGATACAAATTTAGGGGTTTCTCAATGTTTTTCATGTTGGTTACAGTGCTGATATTTATATTTGCTTAAAAACTCCACCAATACTAAGTTGCTCTAACAGACATTACTTCTTGGCTGTTGACTTTGTAATGATTAATGGATAATATGCATAGATTGAGTTTGTTGTGCAGGTAGGACAGTTTTTTTTTTTTTTTTTTGAGGAGAAGGCAGGACAACTGTTGTGTAGCTATTTTGTGATTGGTAATTTTTTTTTTTGTCTTGAATAGTTCTGTGAAGCAATCTCCGATTCAGATGTCCCCAGCAGAATTCCTTTCTACAGAATATTGCCAGTGCCTTGTATTATTGTTCCCTAGGCTCCACTGTGTTGTGCATGCGTGTATCCAGATGTGGTTTTCTGAAATCGTATTATTAATTAGTACAATAATAACAGTGGCATCATCATACCAGTCGATGTCCCCTTTCAATTGTTTTTTCCCCGTTGGATGATCGATCTATATGCTAAGCTGCGTGAGTAATGGCGTTTGTCGCTTGTCAGGATGTGAGATATTATCTGAATGTTATTTGTGTTGCTCAGACTTGCTTGGTCACAGCTTTGATATGAAAGTGTTGCCTTTTTATCCCTGACTCCCTGAGTGTTTTACATCAGAAACTCGGGTGCGGAGGGGTAATAGTTTTGGCGTTTTGCCAAAGGAAAACAACAAAGGTCATCATCACTTCAGCAGAATGTGAATACTTGCATCAAACAATTGATCCACTTCCATGTTATTACTAACACCGCCCCAAGGTATTTGTATCTGAGATCACAGTTTTTATCCTACATGGTATAATTGAGAATTCTGGCATGGATCAAGATTCAAGAATATCAGCACCAGTTCTAATTTATGTTCAGGTCTCAGCCTCTCAAGCACAAGTCGTGAGAAGAAGCACTCGTCACCTATGCCCAGCAAGATTTTGATTCTTCGGTTTTTCAATTGCTTGTGTACATTACATGCGGACAGGGGTGGTCGGCAGCGACTGGTCGTGGGACTCGGACCCGGTGATCTGCGTGCGCATCGTGTCGTGCCAAAGAGTGGAGGCCGCGGGGATAATCCAGCTGTGAAGCACTACCAAATCGCGTTTGAGTTTGAGAGACGCGGGGTGACCGGTGAGGATGGGAGAGCTGGTCAGCTGGAGTGTGGACTGTGGAGGCAACGCAGCCCACCAGCCTAGCGCAGGGGAGAGAGAGGAAGGCCCGAGGCCCGTTTAGCTCGCGATCCCCATGGGCACGTGGCTGTGTGTGCCGGGTGCCGCGCTTGGGCCCACGGTCCGTGGCCGGTGAGATGCTCGTGCTCGGTGCTCCCACTAGGCCACTCGTGACTCCACCACCCCGTCACGGCACCGTACACACACCCAGCGTCGGCTGAACCGCGGAAAGAGCCTGGCCAGAGACATGCTCCACCTCCACCCCACACGCACTCGATCGGTCAGGGAGCGATGAATTTTAAATTCACCCCTTTTAATTTTCTATCTATATAAAAACAAAAAAAGGAGTACCCAGAACCCGGTTAACTGACTGGCCGACCGGGCCGGGCCGGAATCTAGCTAGTGTTGGACCGCGCCGTGAAAACCGCGTACGTATACCCCGTGAGTGAGAACTGAGAACGATCGAGCGATTATAGGCGACCCAGTCCTTGGTCATATTTTTATTCTCGATCGAGCGGCTGATGCTTTAACATGCACTCTATATATAAGACGGGAACTATCATGCATGCTGCCCAACACAACAAAAACCATCCAGTATTCGTTCCATCATATCCATCCGGCACTTCAGCGAGCGAGCTAGCTAGCTAGGGACCATTATATTTCGACGTGCACACAAACATCGTCTTGCATTGCTCCGAGACACAGTACACTAGCGCTAGCTCTACCAAAGTACCAAGCCACCTCGTCGATCGGCCTCGACGATTAGCTATATATGGCGTCAGTGATGCTGAGGATCGCGGTGGCGGTCGTGCTATTCTTGCAGTGCTGCAGTGTGATGATGATCCTCGCGGCGAGGCCGTTGAGCGACCCGGGGGAAGGCAACCAGGAATGGAAGGATCCCGGCTACTCCGGCGTCGACGAAATCGGCTACCAACCATAAACTAGCTTACCCAGCAGCTTACAAGCCTTCTGCATCTACTCCTCTGAATCTCTCTGATTGATGTTTCCTTTATTTATTCATTCACACTTATGCATCGCATTGCGTGGGCCTGCAAATTATACTATATATTCCATTTCTATACGTACAAAAAATGGATTCTTTATTTGGAAGATGTTTGCGATTCGGTAGTACTAGATCGATACAAGTTCAGCAGGCAATGAAACAACCAGTATGTACTAGTAGCTTGTTTACAACAAGCACAGAATCGGAGTGCTAACGCCTAAACCTTACTATGTATTATTACCTATACATTTCCATGATTAACTACTGGATCGAGCTTCTGTAAGTGCCTCGAGTGATTTAAAATCACAAGCTGTATACTCCGTTGGCCGTGCTTCAGAATGTTCCCAAGTGCTTGTATCGTATGCAGCCTTAATCAATCACACGTATGCGGCCTGTCACAACAGGGCCTAAGAAAACCTAAGACCACAAGAGTTATGACCTTTAGTGATGTTAACTAGATCCAGAAAATGTAAAATCAGAGTCCAAACTATCTAGTGAGTCAAAATTTGCTCTGGAGCTGCCCTAAAATAAAAGCACTATAATGTGATAAAAAAATTCACCGTGGAATTTATTGACTCGATGAAAACCCTATTATCTGAAAATATATAAACTTCTAAAAAGTGAAAATGGTGAAGAGATAAAAAAAAAAAAATCATTTAATTAGGAAAATGGAAAGGAAGGCTGCACGAATATTTGCGACCTTGATAGGGACAATCATCAAGCCCTTGCCAAAACCTTTGCATCGCTTTAACCAGAACATCACATACGAGAAATGAATGCAACTGTTACCAGAAGCATGAGCATCAGAGCATGTTTCGTTCATATATACCAATGTTTGTTGGAACCTAATAAATATTGCTGCCCGACTTTCCTCAATTTGTAAACTGCAATCAGTTGCAGGATACATCATCTTGATGTTCCACAGCACAGCAATTTTGTGCGCAGCATCTTCAGGCACCAGTGAAGAAGATACATGCTCATCAACATGTATTCGTCATCATACAATGAATTCATGTCAGCTCCCTAAAAACCCATCCAAAATCATATGTAAACCTACCCATCGAGCTTAGATCTCTTATAGTCTTTTCCATCCTGCTCAGGGTTTCCTACAAGTTGAGGATGGTCATAGCCCTTTTGGTGCTTCAATGTGTCATCAAGCTGCTGTGACTTGTGCTCAGGAACATCATTTTGCTTATCAAATGGTGAAGGATGTTTACTGTCCATCAGACAGCCCATGTCTTCCGCTGTTGTTGGTAGACTCTGCTTGACATGGTGACCATTCTCCATTACTTGGTCAGTGTTTTGAAGGTCTGATGGATGCTTGCTACCATTGGACAAGTTCTGCTTCTTATCCTGTTTAATCTTCTCAACCTCAACAGCCAATTCAACACCTTGTTCTAGCTCTCTCTCAAGTAGATCATCATCATCAATCAAATTTACCTTTGTGGCAAAACCACCTTTCGATTTCCTTCGCTTCTCCAGAGCTGCTTTTACCTTATCCTTGTCAATTTTATTCATTGCATCCATTCTGGAGGTTGACACAACAGGAGCTTCAATGCCACCAACACCATCTCTTGTTTCATTGGAATTATCATCCGATCGATGTGGTTGATGTTCTTCCACTGGATAACGATGTCCAGGCGAGAACTTTTTGTCATGGTGCAATCTGTCCATACCAGTATCACTTTTGATTCCACTTTTGTTCTTTTCTTTGCTGCCACCATGGTTAGCATTGTCATTTTGCAGCATTTTGTGGCCAGAAATATGTTTGTCTGAATTTGAGTGCCCATCGTCATGGTGACCTGAAGCGCTTGTCGAGGACGAATGCTGAAAATTTTGCGATCTGGATGCCTGAAGATAACCATGAGCAGATGGTTCCTTGGAATTTGCTTCAGACTTTACAGATGAACGTTGATTACACACACCAGCGGAGCTCCCTTCGGCTTCACTTCCCTGTGATGATTGTGCCTGCGTTGTACAGCTTTGCTCATACATTTCCAACAATTGACTGCTAATCTCTGCAATGATGGACAACGAATATGTTTTATCATCAGATCAGATGCAACTTAGAACCCAAGAGATAAAAGCACATGTCAGATTACATTGTTATAATAAGTTAATAAATATAATAAGTTAATAAATAATAATTAGTATAACAAACAAGAATTGCCATGTACTGCTTAGTCAAAGCTAAACAATACATAGCAAGTAGAGACCAGCTTCAAAAAGGGCAGAAGCTTGCTGATCCTTTTAGAGGCTACTAATAAGATTCTAACAGCTAAAAGGTAGCTGGGACTTTAGTTTATCGGTTGGTTCCTATCAAACAGTAAGGTATTTGCCCCCTTTACCAAAATGGTGTATGTGACAAGGCACCAGTACAAATCAGAAGATGCTCACCAGTTACTAATTGCAAAGCTCTTAAGGTAAATATTAACAAAAGGCATGTGTGCACTATCAAAATCCCATTTATAGACAACTTCAACATATACCTAAAAAAGGCAGCAACATACTACCTCCGTCCCGCAAAGAGTGTAATTCTGGTTTTGTCCTAAGTCAAATAATCTTAAGAGTTTGACTGAGCTTATACGAAAAAAAAAATATTTATGATACAAATAAATATCATTAGATTCATCATGAAATATATTTTCATAGTAAATCTATTTGGTGCCATAAATGTTGATCATCTTCTCTATAAACTTGGTCAAACATAAGATAGTTTGATTTAGGACAAAACCAAAACGTAACTCTGTGGAATGGAGGTAGTACTAATATACGAAGACACAGCACCTAGAAATACCCAACAGGAACAAGAACGTTTCACGAGATGGAAAATCAAACTCCATATTTGGTGGCAGAATATCATCATAGCATGTTCAGAAAATTGCCTAATGCAAGTCCCTCGCTTGGCCAGCCCTTTTTTTAGGCTAAATAACAATGTACACTTACTTTCTTCTGCAGTCTGCAACAGAAAAATGAATTGGTTCGAGCATGCTAGAATTTAAATAAAGTGGCTAAAAAGTAAGTTTTGGAAATTAAATTGTATAATGAATTAAGGTATGAAAAAGTTGAAACAGTAAAAACCCAAACGATAACATGGCATGAAATATATTTTCATCTTTATAAACAATGCTAACAAAAAATAAACAATGTGCTTAACTAATGCAGTGGAGAACAATGTGATCCTACTTTAGCCTGAATATAAGTTCAATGGAGCTGCAGTTTGTCAATAACTGCTAGCAGTAAAGAAAGAAAACATGAAGTTATCAAGTTAAGTATCTATGATGTGTATACATTCCTTCAAAACCAGGAGTTTCACAGGAACAAAATTCAATTTGACACACCAAACACATGGTGCTAAACTGCTAATTCAATCAATAACGATCAAAACATATGCAGAACAAATAAACAAAGTAGGGCAGGTGGAAACATTTCATGGACCAACCTTCAAGCTGTCGACACGTGACATCAAAATCCTGCCACCAATGCTTATCACCATCAGATGGGAGCTTCACTTTTAGAAATTTAGCAGCCAAACGGATAGCACCAGCTGCAATATGATGAGGCTGGAACTGCAGGCAAAGCGAAGTACGCAGCCTGTACAGTGCACAACATTAAGTGTAGTAGATACACAACTGTGAACTGCAATTTCAAAAAAAAAAACAGCAAGGGTAGCATTAGCATACCCATCATTTACAAAATTCCAGGCAACCTGAGCAAGTGGACTTTTATTATCAATATTGAATCTCCTTATTGCTTCAACCAAGGGCCTATAGGCATGGTGAATATTAAGGTCAAACCCAAGTGTTACAAGTACAACTCGCTCCCCAAGTAAAATAAGTTCTTTTTGTTTATCATATATTTCCTGAAAGAGGCAGTAGTAAGCACTAATATCAGTTGAAACAACTCTTACATAAATGGCTTTGTTTTGAACCAAATATGAACTGGTGCATGCAGAAAATAAACTCCATATGTAGATTCAGAAGCAGGAAGCGCAAAAGGATAACACTATCATAATGTTCATGCTCGAGTGCTCGACACAAAGGAGCATAACTTTTTTTATAGAAAAAGGCATTCTCAGGATTAGACAGTTCAGCTTAGATAGCACCTTGGGATGATTTGAGCAACCATAAGCTGATAATGGGGGCATACAATGGAAGCTAATGATGGCCATCATCATTTTGTAAGTAAACGTTTGTTAAGCATCATAAACCGTTAAGCATTGATATTAGTAGCATGAGCACTCAAACCCAGGACAATAAGTGGATCTCAACTGCTTTCGCATTAAGACTTTGTAGCCAGATTTGAATCTACATATTAAAATGGGACTAAAACCTAATTTTTTTCTTGCATAAATAGCTATACAAAAATACAACCACATCCTAGAAGTGTACGACACAATGAATTATAAAGTTAAAAAAAATGTATTAGTTCCCAAGTAAAGAGTATGAAACAATATTAGCTGAACAGTAATAATCATTCAGAGAAAAAACTAGATAGTGTCAGGACTTCTGGAGCAAAACAAAGAGACAAATTAAACCATTACCTTCTGCTGCTTGATTCTCTGACTAGCCTTAGGATCATTCTTATGAATCATCCCATAAGAAACCAAGATGACATCCCTCAAAGGTTTAGGTGTTTCTTCAACTTTTCCAGCCAAGAATAAACAAACTGTGGCGATTATCTGTGGATATTAGATTCAAAAGTATTGGTGCCTATTCTATAGAAACAAAATACATTTGACAGGGTGATACACTGATACCTAGCTTGAAGGAGTAAATCTATATCTAAGTATCTCACTATCAAAGAGTTCACATCATACTAGATACTAGAAGAATTCGGTTTCTAACATGAATGCAAGAGAATTGTCATATCAACTACTAAGATCTTGTTAGTAGTCAGGGATACAAAATGGAAAAGGCAAATAATTGAAAACTTAGCAAAATAAAATTATATCAAAATGTAAAAGTTTCTAAGGCAATGCACAAACCTAAAAGCTTAACGGAAATTTTGGCAACCATTAAAAACTAAAACTAGAGACAATCATTGAATAACACTTACTCGTCTATCATTTTTTGCAAGGGATTGACGAAGGTAAAAACGATGACAGAATACCATTGCTGTGGCAATCGTCACTTGAGGCCTAAAAACAGCACAGATGAGGTAGATTTTACGAGATAAAAGGATGAGCTAAAAGTATTTACTTTAGCAAACTTGGTGAACACACAATCCATTTGATATAATAAAACTTTTAAAAAAACTGAAGGATTCACAGAAGCAATGCAAGTTGCATCAAGATTATATAACCACTAAGGAAAATGCCATACTTTAGCAAGCAACAACCAAGATCAACCATGCACACAAAAATAAATAATGACCAGCAAAACCTCAGTCCATTTTCAAATACCAGACTGTCAAGTATGCCAAAATTCAAATTATACAATAACAGCTATGCAAATTTCTCTCTTCTCGATGACAGTATGACCATCCTTAGTCAAAGATACACAACTATTTACCGGAGAAAAGGATACATATATATTGTTACCACAAACAATTGTAGATATGTGCATCCCACCACACAAGTGACTATATAAAAATAAGCAAACATAAGCTAATATAGATACATATTTTGAAAAGCTTCAGCATCATGGAAGCATCAAAGTAGCACTTCATTTATAGAAAGTGAAACACAAAGAAGAGCCAACAATATATAATATAAGAAAATAAATGTCTCTGTCTTACATTTTAAGCGCTATGCCCAATTCTTGTAGAAATTTGCAATACAACTTTCGAAGGTTAGACTCTTTCTTAAAATCAATACCATCCCTCCTGGATGGAGAGTTTTCCTCTAATTCCTTTCTACTGAAATACCACGATGGACCAAATTTCCTAGCTTCACCACACCTAGCCTGGGTACATCCATTGGGGCTATTGTCCACAACTCCATGATGTGACGAATCACTTGGCACCATAGCCATGTAAGCTTGATTATATTCGATACGAATTGATTTGCTCCTTGAACTCCTAATCAGTCTCTGAACAGAAAGGTACAACTGGTGTTACAACAGGCACCATGAAATAGAAAAGGACGGCATGGCACAATGCAGCTTCAGAGTAATGTACAGAGCGGCATGTGCATTCAAACAGACAAGCTTAAATTCCTAGACTGATCATAAAAACAGAAAATGATAGAATGGTATATGATGCCATAACATGCTAAAAGGCCCAATAATACACAACCATGCCAGCATTTCATAATGATACTCAATATTTAAGAATGGGATGGTATGGTATGGCTTAAGACAATCCTACTATTTGTTAATAAGAAAGCATCCCACCATTAATAATTAATGTAAAGCAAAAGAGAGGTTAACAAACTTCTGAACCCAAGCCAGACCAAATACACAAAATAATTCGCCGCCCCTTTCTTTTCCAGCATTGTCCATGCTCACCACACCCAGGGGCGGACGCCGTAGAGGACATGGGTGTACACCCGATAATTTTTGCAAACAGAATCGAAGTTACTAGGTGTAATCATCTATAAACTTGTAATTATAACAGATCCGAAAACAAACAGCTTAAGCTAGGGTTTGGGTGGTCGGTTTCGCACAGCCGGATAAGGGCTCGAAGGAATCTGTCGAAGGGCCCGACGGAGACCTGGGCACCTGGCGAGGACGGCGGCGGCGTTCGCCCAGTCGGCGCCACGGGGGAGAGAAGAGAGAGCGCACGCGCGCGCGCGTGTGTGTGTGTGTGTGTGGGGGGGGGGGGCGGGGCCGCATGGATAGACACGGACCGGAGTCCAGGCCTGTTCGGATGAGATCCCATCAAAAATTTTCATGGGCCTGGAGCAGAGCTGACAGTTTTGGTTCCAATCCAGCGGTGTCTCTAGGCCCAGATGTTCTGAATGTAAACTTAGGTCCGTTTGGTCCGCAGGAGATTTTCAGAATCCAGATAAAAAATTGAATAGATTCTAGTAGATTTTAACATATAAATACAGCATCCAATGAAACGTGCTAGATTTTTTTATCCATATTTCAAATGTGGAATTCAAAAATAAAAATAAATAAATTTAGCAAAAAAATTGAACTTTTGAAAAGTGATTTTAGAGGCAGTTAGTAAGCGCGCGAAGCCTCCTCTAGAAAAATGATAATGATCTCAGCCGCCTCTAGAAATTTAGTCTGTAGAGGCGACTGAGGTACCAGCCATTTCTAGAGATTGATTCTAGACACCTCTAGAAATATAAAGACAGACAGATAGAGGCGGACGAACCAATCGCCTCTACAAATCTTTTCTAGCTGCCTCTAGAAAGCTTTTGTGTAGCAGTGAGTTTGATTGATTTTAAAATCATCTTGATAACTTCAAATAAAAAAATCAAAACTGCAGTCATAAATCTCGTTGAGAATTATGTTTTTACATAAAACTTCTCTTGTTTAAGGTGAAGTGGAGTGACAGGCTTTGTATGTGGAATATGCGCCTGCACATCCGTCTCGTACACTCCCGTGTGGTGCATCTTGTCAGGCTAATGCGTATGGTGTGACACGGTGTTTTTTTTAAGACGCCACATGGCACAAGCACGATTAAAAGTGTTAGAAATGCAAATAGTTTTATTTTTGGAATAGTTAAGGTTAAAAATAAAAGGCTTCCGCCATCGGATAATGCACGGAAGAAATCAGTACTACTCCCTCCGTCCTAAAATAAGTGATGTTTTAGATTTGTCCTAATTCAAATAATTTCAAATTTGACCAAATTTATAGGAAAGAAACATTAATATTTATGACACCAAATAGAAAGAATATAAAATATATTTTATAGTAAATCCAATAATACTTATTTAGTATGATAAACATTAGTATCTTTTGTATAGGATAAACCTAAAACATTACTTATTTTTAGATTGATGGAGTAGTAAACAAGTGAGAACAATAGGCGCTTGTGAACTTGATGAAGCTAGCGGTGTCATTCCGTACAGGCCCAACCTGACCGAGTAAGGCATTAGAGAGACCCTGAGATGGACCCAGAATTATGTTCGTCACAAACCCAAGCAACAAGGCACACTGATACAGGCCAAAGGAGTCCAATCCTATACTCTTATAAAATTAAACTTCACTAGAGATTTCTCTCAACATGCAAGTTATACACATCAACAATCCATTAGAACTTGCAATTATAGCCAACCCCACTAGAGATTTCTCTCAACATGCAAGCTATCCACATCAATAATTCACTAGAACTTGCAATTATAATCAACTAGCACATATAATTATGATAGTTATCTCTTCCTCTACTAACATGCATTTAGCTATCCACATCGATGTGTCAAACAATTCACCAAAATTAATTTAAGATAGTTTCATTCATATAACTATAAATATAAATAGTATAATTTCTTTTTAAATTATCTGGAACCCGTACTCTACAATTCGGCGGTCACTAGCTTTCTCCCAACCAACCGTATACGACTGAAGCTATCAACTGGAAGCCGGCACCCAACTTCGTCTTGCTTAGGGAACACGGACACACTTGGTTCATGGACTTGTTATCATGACAGTATAGTACGCGCGACCGGTCAGTAAGTATCGAATCGACTTCAAACGTTACGGGATTTGAATTCAAAAATGGACCGCGCAAGCGCTGAAAAAACCTCATTGCTACATACTTTTGCTAGACCAGAGAAGTTCACAACGCTTGTAAAAGTATGAGGTGCATGACCGACTAACTGGTCGGTCCTTATTCTTTTTCGGAGCGTCGATTACGAAACTATATTTTACTATTATATAAGAGGGAAGCAAGCTACCTTAGCTGCATGCAGCTGCACGCACGAGATCACAAAATATATAACACAGCCTCGATCAGTTGGTCATATGGCACCGACGGCGGCGGCGATGATGGCGAGGGCAGTGGCGGTGGCCGTGCTGTTGTTGCAATGCTTCAACGTGATCCTCGCGGCGAGGCCGCTGCTGGATGCAGACGCAGGAGACGGCCGCCGTCCGTGGCTGGGACGAATGGAGCTCGGCGGCGCCGGGACGCCGCTGATCATGCAGGTTCTTCATCGAGGTCCTTGCCCCAACAATAATGGTTGGCAGGCTCCCAACGGCGCCGGTTGCCCGTAAAATAAATTATAATAGCCGGCTCAGTCGGCCGGGAGGTTTAGTGGCCACTGGCTTAGAGTACTCCCTGTATTCGAAATCATAAGATGTTTTGGTTTTATAAATATATATTATAGACATGATATATATTTAAGAGTATAACAAAAGCTATATATATGTAGAAAAACAAAAATATCTTATAATTTAGAATAACGGAAGTATGATACAATTCCCTACTTGATGCCCGTATAAACAGCCCAATATTATTCACTTGTATCTTGAAATATATATCTGCACAACAAAAAGATGATCGGATTTGCGTGACATTATTGGGCTATTCCTAAGTCTTTTGTGGCATCTTGTATTGTTCTCTCTACGTGAATTATTATACCAGGATTTGAATACTCCTACTCGATTTAAGAGTGTGTGTTTGGTTCAGTTATGAGCCGTGAAAAAATAGTTGTGAGTTATGTATTGTGAAAAGGAAATAAATTGTTTGGTTAAAACAATTAGAAAACCTCCCATCTCTCTTCATCTTTCTTGAAACAACTAGGTGTCTTTATTTGCAACCATTTGGAAAAAGATCAAAGTCAACAGCACAACCCAAGATGCTATGAAAATTATACTTCGGAAAAGCAGCTGCTTCTAAAAAAATTGCTTCTAGTTCTACCCGTTTGGTTGGCGTTCTGTTTTTTTAGCAGAAGAACACTTTTCAAAAGCTAAACCAAACATAGCCTAGAAAGATAACCCTACTACCTAGACTGTGTGTGTGAGCTAATAAGTGGATAAAGATTGTAACTGCATATATATACATAGGGTGTGTGTTGGATCCCATGAGCTAACAACTAGTTGCTAAAGTTTAGTTCTTGAGGATCCAAACAAGAGGACTAATGGGTGGACTAAAGTTTAGCCAAAACCCCAACGCGTCGTTAGTTCACTAGTCCTTCAAACACAACTATTAGGGGCTAAAAGTGCTATATCACCTATCATCTCTCCTCTCTCTTCCTATGTTAGCATAAGATCCAAACATGTATGTGCTAACAACTAGTTGGCTAATTTTTTAGCCATGACTAACAACTAGTCCTAGTCCTTCCAAACAAAGCCCATAGCCGTTGCGCACGATGAACTTTAGAATTTTTTATTGTATGAATAGTCCACGTAGAAACCTATTATAGTTTTTTTTTTTCTGGTGCTCTTCTTTTTGTATGATGATTGTTGTTTTATATGCGAATAAATCGTTAATCTAATTAATAAGTGCAGTGCACTATTGTGTTCGTGTTGTCCTTTAATTATCATGACAGAATGGAATGAATTTGGTTATTTTCCAAATTCCAAAATACTCCTATATATGGAGTAAGACACATGCACATACGATCTCTCTCATAAATGCATGAACTCCCACTCTGTCTTTATAAACGCCTTGGCTAGACCAATAAATCTTGAGTTTGAAGAAGTCACATGATCGAGTACGTATAGATCACCAATAAATTAGCAGAAAATACGAGCATCATCACTGACTCAAAAAAAAAAAACTCGCTAAACCATTGTTGAGTCCAAAGCTCAGAACAGTTCATTTTTTTTAGAGAAATCCTATACGGTACACGGCTGTTTTGCATTCTGTTAACACGCGATTTTATGGCCCTTGATCTGACCCGCGTCAGCCTCCCGTGGTGTCCGATCTCTGCCTCTGAACATCCGATTTCCTGGTCTCCCGTACCACTCCCAGGCCCGCCGCACCCTGCTCCTCCATCTCCCCAGCCGCTCCTCCTCTCCGCCCTCTTCTCCGCTGCTGGCAGCCACGCCATTGACCAGCCGAGCCGGCCTGCTCCACCCCGGCGTCGCGCAACCGTGCTGCCGCGCCGGCCCAGCTCGGCCAGCCAAAGCCTCGCATCATCTGCGACGCCGACAGCAGGCGAGCCCTGGATCTGTGACGCGGAAGCTCCTCGCCGGCCGTCAACCCCGACCACACCACACCGCGCCTCTGCACCGCCTCCCCGTGGCCGCGCCCCTGCACCGCCTCCCCGTGGGCACGACGCCTCTGCAGCCTCGTCCGTAGCACCAGCACCGAACCGAGATGCCGCCGCGGGGAGCGGCGTTGCTGCTGCTCCTCCACCTCGTGTTCTACCGTGCGTCCTTGAGATTTTTCCTCGTTTCCTCTCCGTGCTTTGCGTTTGAATCTGTGGCTGGGGTTGGGCTGACATTTGACATCTGTGAATAATTTGACATACAATTATCTGATATATGCAATTCATAAAAATAATTTGTAAATTTGTTTGAAAAATTCTGCATATATTTGTCTGCAATAAGTTGTATTATCTCCATATTACATCACTTTATTTAATAAATTATAATTAAAAAATCATTATATATATATAGTAATAAGACAGCGTAAATATAACTATAAGACAATGTAAAAACATTCAGTTATTTGGCTCGACAGACTCTTTTTTTTAACACTAATAATGTGGTTTCTGTAGTAGCGGTTTCATGATGAAAGATTAATTGTCTTTCATGAGTCTTGACCTGGGGCTCCGCACTTCCGGCGCGGCTGACCGACGGCGCGCCGGCCAATTTTGTGTGTCGCAACTCGCAAGACGGCAAGACCCCTCGCGCGCGCGCTGAAGGGCCACGCCGCCACTTTCTGAGTTGCGGGGAGCAAGACAAGAGCAAGTCGTGATCAATCGCAGTCCGCCGCGGCGAGATCTGGGTACACAGCAGCAGCAGTAGACACTAGTAGCATGTAATATCTCTGACCAGTGACCAATACCAGAGCCTGTGTATTGTGGTGAGTTGAAATGGATCGCTCTGGCCTGGCCTCGCGCGCTGAAAATTAAACCGCGTCGCTAGCGACGAACGGAACGGGCGCTACCTACCTATGTTTATTAGGCGCTCGACGTCGCCCGTGTAGGTGTAGCTGAGAAGGAAATGTATCACCATCATCAACGCTAACCCAGCATGACCCGGTCCTGCTCCGTTTTACATTTTCACCGTGCATGCCGTGCGGAACATGTAAAAGAAAACCATGTCTCCCTCCCACGCGACAAAACCGGTTCAAGGCATTCGATCGGTCGAGTCAGCTACCCCGTTTCAGAGTGGTTTTAGCCTTCACTCAGAGGGTAAAGGCTAAAACGACTCTGAAATGGGAACAGAGAGAGTACGGCACAAGGCGGTGGTTAGCAGCCGCGGTGCTCAGTGCTGATGCAATGCGCTTCCCGCGAACATGTGGTTTTGGACTCAGTCAACTGTTTTTATATTATCCCTTTTGTCATTGACTGTTAAAACCTTAACCTCTTCAAATTGTAGAGTAGTTATATAATATATGGCCTTATTATGAGGGTGACGTGACATTATTGACTCGGTGATGAGCGTGCATTGCGACGGAGTATTTGAATGTTGAAGATTCGTCAATGCAAATGGGTTAAAAAACTTTGATAAATTCTCAACACAAGCCTAATATAACATGTACTCTCTTCGTTCTTTTTTACATGTCACATTAGGTTTGCCTTAAATTAAATGTTACCATCTTTGGCCATCTTTTTTTTAAAAAAAATCTTATAGTTTTACAACAGGTGTATTATATTATGAAAGTATTTTTCACAGAGAATCTTATGTCATGAATCTATTTAAAAAAACGATGGTCAAAGATATAAATATTTGAGTTAGAATAAAGTTCATACAACATGTAAGTAAAATAATCGGCCAACAATTAATCTCCAAGAGAATGTCTATGGTGTGCCAACTTTTTAAGAAACCGACCAAGTATATGTACTGTACATGTCATATTGATGCTATAGCAACTTTGGGCTTAAAGTATGATAGTAATTACAGATTTGCCATATAGATAGAGGCATAGAGCCATAGAGTAATTGATTGATACGGGAGAAAAGCTTAAGCGTTAAATATGAATTCGAGAGCGGTGGTTGTAGAAAGCGACATGTAAAAGACGACAAAAGGCTCAATATTTTTCTCTGAGCCTTTTTGCCATACGGAAATGCTTAGGGGTGGGTGTCCAATCTTTCGGACGCTGATGTTGTCGTGGGCCACGATGCTAGCTTGAACGGCCCAACAAATGTGTTCTATTATGCTCGCATTTTTTATTGGGAAATCGTTCGGTCGTTGTCCACTATCTAGAATGGAAACCCCACCCTCCACTCGTCGAGGTCCCAGACTCCTAGCACCGCCACCACGTGCCGCGACTGCTCTGCCACGGTGGCGGCCCGCTTGCCACCATCCTTCCTCTCCACCTGTGGTGCTGGTGTGCCGCCGCGGGCCCTGTGCTGGTGGTAGTGGTGCTCGTCGCCGCCACCGGTGCTGGTGGTGCTCGCGCGCTGCCGCTCGTCGCCGGCTCCAACCCCAACTGCTAGATTCGACCGGCCCCGGCCTCCTCCATGTTGCAAAATGCATGTTTCTAGTGTTTTCGATGTTTCATAGCTATGTTGTAAGTGTTTCATATGGATGTTGCAAAAGTAGATCGAGATGTTATATATGTTGCAATGGTTGTACACGTATGTTGTAATCTTTTGTTCCCAATGTTTCATCTTTTTTTCAGGCATATGTTGCAAGTGTGCTTATCTGGATATTGTATACGTTTCGCGCATATGTTGTAAGTGGTTTATCTGAACGTTATGTATGTTTACAATGGTTTCATGTGTTTTTCGGTGTTTTCGCAAGTGTTTCAGACGCATGTTTTAAGTGTTGCATTAGTCTTAAGATGACATATGTTGCAAGTGTTGCATCTGGATATTTCAAAAGTAGATCAGGTGTTACATCTTCCTCCTCGCTTTTGTTGCCTCGCCTCGGTGTCTCCTCCGCCTCCAGCGAGGTCCGGCATGGCCATCACGAGGCTTTTTTTAGGGAAAGAGGCAGAGGTTGTGGATGAGCGTGACACGGGCTCTCGAGACGCGTCTTGCGGCTAGACGTCCGGGCGCTAGCCCTTCCATTTGCCATATATTATATTAGTATAAGTAAGAAATAAAAGGAGACGTTGACATGCCAAAATTTTTCTTTTTTTTTCTGCCAGCAAAATTAGGTCTATAGATGTGAGAAAGTTAAGCAAATAAATTAAAAAAACGATCTACTACATATGACGTACTCAGAGCCGAGAAGTGTACGTGGTTGGCACATATTTTCATTTTTTAGCACTTACGGTTGTCACCGATTTTTTTTTTATAAACAGCACAGTTTTTTTTAGCACACAGTGTGTCTTCTTCTATCTGCGCGAAAGTGCGAAGAAGAAGCACACAAGTCACTGTATGAAACGTACGCAAGTACGTACGTAACAAATGCTACTCACTAGTTTAGCTAGATAGAAAAGGCGTCGTGTGTATGGCACTACAGCTGGCAGCTGCCTTTGATCCATCGGTTGTCAATCTTGTGAGTTGAACTGAGAACTTGCATGCGGCCTTCAAGTTGAAGCCACAACCGCGGACCGAGTACTAACTACTTGTGGGCTGAAAACCGCGTACGGAGTACTTGCTTGCGCTTAATTACTCAGGCGTCAGGGATGAATCGCGCAATGCTTAAAAGTACAAGAGCGATCGAAGAATTCAGAATGGACCCGGTCCGCTATCATATTTTTTTCTGCTGGCACGCAGTAAAACTTGCATTACGAGACTTATAAAAGGCCACCACCTTGTCTCTCTTCTTCCAACAAACCATTCCAAGCGGAGCAACAACCAACAAGGGCGGCATCTCATATTCCCATTCGGCCATTCCCATCGATCCACTTACTCAAACTCCAACAACGTGTAGTAGACTAGTAGTAACCAGCTCCATCCATCGATCGTCTCGTCTGCACTGCAATCACATTTGCTAGCTTCATCCCCAAGGCGAACGCTCGCGCGTGTTATGGCATCGTCGGCGATGGCGAGGGCTGTGCTGGTGGCCGTCGTGCTGATGCAGTGCTGCAACGTGATGGTGGCGACGAGGCCGTTGCTGATGGAGGCGCCGGCGGGGTGGCGACAGCAGACGGCGGCTAGCTGGCTGGGGCTCATCATGCAGGTGCTAGGCGGCAACAACCACAACTGCCAAGCTCCCAACGGGTCGTGCCACTGATAAACTAGCTAGCCGGCCGGCCGCAGACGGCGGCTGGCTGGGGATGATCATGCAGGTGGTACAAGGGCCGGGCTCCAACGGCGGCGGCTGGCAAGATCCCGGCCACCCGCAAACCAACTGGATCCATGCCCCCGTCGGCGCCGGCATGCATGCTCTTTGCTAGCTGCTGATCATCAGTGACCAAGATAGGTTGGACAATGCGGTTTTTGTTAATTTTATTTAGGCGTTAGTTAGCATATACATGTACATGCTGCGTACTAGAGATACTGTCCATTTAATTGGTTCTTTCTAGCTAGTTGTTCTTTTAGAAAAAGAATAAATATTCCTTTTTTTTCTAAAAAAAACAGCTAGCTAGCTAGTTGTTCAAGTAATTAATTAATAGATTATATTAGCTCCATGCAAAAATGCATGGGGTTTATCTTTCGTGTAATTTTAGGATCCCAATTAATACTTTCAAAGGCATATCACATAAGACTTCCTTCTAGTGGACATGAAAATCATTCTATATACACTTTTCTATTAGTTTGACCGTTGCCACAGACTGAATGAATCACCGGAGAATCACGACGATACTAGTCCTCGCCAAAGAAAAAAAATAGCATTGTTAATTTTGTAGGGTCGTTGACGCGAAATTCAACGCCTTTTTTTTGACACAGCAGCATGCATGCATGTACATGCTGCGTACACGTATGCATGGAGTTTATCTTTCGTGCAATTTTAGGTTCCAAACTAATAATTTAATATAAGAGTGCAATTTTTAACCACGGATGCCTTAATTCTCTGTTCAAAGGCATATTTATATAAGACTCCCGTTGGAGTTACTCTGTTTGACATTTGTGTCACACGGTTCCTAAAACAATGATAAACAATCTAAGTATACTCAGTCCATTTCTAATTATAATCTAATTTGATTTTTTTCCTAAGTTAAATTTCTATCAAGTCTATAGGAAAAATACACCAACATATAGAACACCAAATTAGTTTTTGTTAAATTCTCCGTAAATATGTTTTAACTGATGACCATTTATCTGAACTCCTTGTAGATGTCAATGTTTTTTTTTTCTAAAAACTTCATTAGTAAAGAAGTAAGCTAAAGTAAAATATAATTTAGAACGGTGGGAATATGTATATTTTGGCATGTGGAGCA